AGATATAAATGATGATCATGTTGAAGATGTTTCAGGGATTCAGCATTTGACAAGTGATTCAGACAGTGAAGTTTACTGTGATTCTATGGAGCAATTTGGACAAGAAGAGGTAAAAATGACATTTTTGATTGGTAAGTTTTCAAAGTGGTATATTAAAATTCAGTGTGTAACTTCTGTTAATAGCAGATGTACATGCCACTCATCACTTTGAAAACATACCTCTAAAATAATCAAACATTTTTATTTTAGTGAATTAAAATATGTAAAGTTTTAGGATATTTAAAGAATAATAATGTAAAGTGTTCCATTATAATTGATTTTAAAATTAATTTATTTATAAAAATCCTGGGTCAATGGGATGAGAATGCAATGTATTTGACAACACTGCTTAGTGAAGAAAATTGAACAATTTTGAAGTAATCTGTTCTTCACATTGACTAATCCATTGGATAAACTTGTTGTGGAAATAATCTTCAGATTTCAGGGGCCTGGGAGATGGCTCAGTAGAATAAGCGCTTCCCTGGCAAGCGCAAGGGTCTGAGTTCAATCCCCGGTTCCACCAAAAAAAAAAAAAAAAAAAAAAAGAAAAACTTCATATTTCAGTTGAGATTTAATATTGGAAGAGAAATTTGAAAAAAATATAAAAGGTTCATGAGATTTTTTTTTTGCAGAACCAGGGATTGAACTCAGGCCCTTGTGCTTGCCAGGCAAGGAGTTTTTTTTTAACTTACTGATAACAATGAATATGGTTCTGATAGCTATTTCTGTTCAGCATTTTTATACCTGTTCACCACTCTTTCCTTCATCCTGTTCTAATGCAGTTGCAGTGTGTCTTACTGAAAATCTTGTAGCTATTGCCTCTATAATACTCTTTTTTTTTATTTTTGTCTTTTTGAGACAGGTTTCACTATACTGTTCAGGCTGGTCTTGAACTCACTTTGTAGGTTAGGCTGGCCTTGAACTTGGAACAGTCCTACTGTCTCAACCTCCCAAGTGCTGGAATTACAGGCATGTACCACAACCCCTGGTTAACATGGGAAAAATGATGACAAGGAGGCCAAACTGAGAATGAACTAAAATTAGTGAAAGTGAAAACAGAAAATGATAAAACTCAAATCCCTTTTTGTTTTTTCTTTCAAAAAAGCTTTTGGGAATTAAAAAAAGAAGCTTTTGGGGTGGGGCCAGGGAAATAGCCACTGGCTTAAGTGCCTGCCTGGCAAATTCAAGGTCCTGAGTTCGATCCCTGGTACCAGAAAAAAAAAAAAAAAAGTCATTTTTTTATTTGAAGATTTTTGTTTTCAGTCAAGCTAAGTAAGTTGAGTATTTTATAGATCCCATTCTGAAAGATAGACATTCTTTTTTTTTTGAGATAGGGTCTGCTATGTGGTACAGGCTGTACTTAAACTCACCTTATAGCTTAGGCTGGCCTCAAATTCATGAATCCTGCCTCAGCCTCCCAAGTGCTAGGATTACAGGCATGTGTCACTACTCCTAGACTTAAGGTGGACATTCTAAAAGGTGGACGTTTTCACAGGTTCCTGCTAAGGGTCTGCAGATTGTGCTGGATGAAGAGCCATAGTGCCAGTGGAATTGGCTGTGGTTGTCAGTCCAATTCCACCTCTTCTCTTGCTTTCCTCAAATACTTTTGTCATCTGCTATCCTGAGAAGATAGAAGCAATGGACTGTTATTTGAATTTTGTGTCATAATCCTTCTGTAACTTACTATAAGCTGCTCTATTCATTCTTTGCCATCTTAGAGGGTGACAGAGCCTTCTCCTTTAAGGCCAGTTTCTTTACATTGATGATGTCCTCCTACTTCTTTGGGATTTCACCTTTTCTACTCTCTACATCATTCTCAACCATTGTTTCTCTTTTGCTTCTTTCTTTTCAAGCTATACACATATTCATAACCCATCTTTGAAAGAAAATAGTCACTTAACTTGGTAATACCGGGGGCCAGTCAAATAGCTCAGCAGATTAAAGCACTTGCAAGCAGGCACAGGGGCCTGGGATTCCATCCCCCGGCCTGCTGTGCTGCCCCCGCCCCCCCCCAGCCCCTGGGGTTATGCTGAGATGGCAGTTGGGACTGAGCGTGGTGGCACATGCCTGTAATCTCAGCTCTTGGGAGGCTGTAAACAGGCTGATCACTACGAGTTGGATCTAGTAGTGAGACCTGAACACCCTGTAGACCCTTCCTTAAAATAAAATAAATAAAATAAAAAATCTTTGACATGAAATGGAAGTTATTGTCTAACAACCATGAATATTCTAATATTTAAATCCCTAGAGAATGTTAAAAGAACAATTACATATTCTTACACAGAAATTAGAAACCAAAGCCATATACAACATTATAGCAAGAAAATACTACATTATGTGACATACTTAAATTTTCATTTTAACATAACACTTTAATGAATCATCTTGTTTATCTAATATATACGATTTTTACCTAATTTGTCATCCTTAAATGAGATACACATCATAAATTTTTTTGTTAAAGGCTTGAATATGAGAGAAAATCTTTTATCACAATAAGCAATCATTGATTTACATTTTAGACGATCTGTACACTTAGAAGCATGAATGTGCTTAATACAGCATGAGATTAACAATAATGAATTACCATACAATTGTGAAAACCTTTTTTTCTTAATTTAGCTTCATATCAAAAACATCTTTTAAGAGACAACCTTATTGTAATTTTTTTCTGAAAAACTTTACCTTTTAACCTATCTAATAACTTAAGAAAAAGCATGCTTTTGAGTCTATATCCCAAGGGCCAGCCAAATAGCTCAGTGGATTAAAGCACCTACAAGCAGGCCCAGGGGCCGGGGGTTCACTCCCTTGGCCTGCTGTGCTGGCCCTGCCCTGTACCTGCCCCCAGAGTGTGTTTAGAGGTGATTGAGACTGGGTGTGGTGGTGTGCTCCTATAATCCCAGCTTTTGGGAGGCTGTAAACAGGCAGATCACTACGAGTCGGATCTAGGAGTGAGACCCTGAATACCCTGTAGACCCTTCCCTAAAAGACAAACAAAACAAAAAAAACTTGGTGATCCCCTCTAACTATTGTTTTACCTCTCTCTTTCACTTTATGACCAGACTTTTTGTTGTTTGTATTTATGTGTCATATTCATTTACTTTAGTCAGATTTCTTTTTTTTTTCAGAACCGGGGATTGAGCTCAGGTCTTTGCACTTGCCAGGGAAGCACTTATTCCACTGAGCCATCTCCCGGCCCCTTTAGTCAGATTTCTGCCATCCTTGCCAACACATCTCTCCTTGAAAACACTCCATTGTACCATTCTTCCAAAGCTTTCTTTCATGTGGTAGGTTTTTTTTCAACCTCTTAGGTTTCTTGTAGGCTTCCTCTTAAGTTATTCTTTTTCTGTTGATTCCTTAAATTTAGTATTCTTCAGGAAGATAGCCCTAGTTACTACTTCTTTGGCTGCATTCATGATAGGCTGATGACACCAGAAGTGATAAATCCAATATTTCTGTTCAGAATGCCACATATCCTATACATCCTGGGCCTCATCTTTAACTTATTATAACTCCCATTATCTCTGTTCCCCTGAAACCTTTTTATCAGAATTTTTAAGTTGATAAGTATCATTAAATCTTGTCTCTAGAGACTTTCCCTCATTCCCTACATTTAGTTTTTAAGTCATGTTGATTCCTGAATCTTGAAAGTTTTCAAATTACCCTATACCTCAGGTATTTTATTGATGCTGTCCCTGTGACACCCTTCACTTGGACTGTTCTCCTTTGTTCTTCAAGTCATAGTTTCTATTATTTTTCCAAAGGTTTCCTGGCCAACCTTATTCCCACCCCCAGAGCTCCTGAAGCTTATTGTTTTCGTGCAGTTTACCAAGTGATATTGCCATAATCTTCACTAGCTCTCTTTACTAAAGCTGTAACCTTCTTTTTTTTTTGCGGAACGGGAGCTTGAACTCAGGCCCCTGAACTTGCCAGGCAAGCGCTTATTCTACTGAGCTATTTCCCCGGCCCAGGCTGTAACCTTCTTGTCAGCAGGAATCTTACCTCTTTTTCATAGTATTCCTACAGTTTACTGTAGTAACTAAGATAAGCATCACAAATAGTGATTAAAAAAATACAGTGTTTTAAAAAAATACTTACTACAGCAAAAATAAAAACATCACTTTGCCAAGAATGATGGGCTACATGTGTTCAAAGTGAGGGGGGAATATTTTTAGGGGGATTAATGGCAATTTGCTTTTACTATAATCAATTTTTAAAATATTCACCAAATTTTGTGATTATTCCTTCTTGATCTAATGTTTATAGCATTTTTTTGTCAAATAAAAACATTACAGTGTGTCCCGGCTCCATGCAACTATGGCTCTTTCTTAAAGTCAAAATGACCATGAGAGATAAGTGTTTTGCACTGATTCAGGAATTGAGACAGCTGTGGTACTGCAACTGAAAACACAAGTTTTTCCAGAACTAATTCAGAAAATCACAATGTGACTTAGTAATAGACTATTTTTTAAAAACATTTATTTGTGTGTGTGTGTGTGTGTGTGTGTGTG